GGATGTATTTGAATCCCAAAGTCTTATCAGCATGTAATTTTATCATTTTTATTTATTTATATTAATTTAATAGATAAGAAGCATTAACTCTTATCTTTGGGGGTTTTTTCTTTCTAATTACAAGAGTAATATGTATTTTTTGTAGAAATCTTGCAAATACAGGAAATAGGAAGATATCCCAGCACCTGGATACCTGGAGCTATCACCCAACTCCTTCTATGTGAATTGTTTTTCTTAAGTGAACTCTATGTTTGCTGAGAGGGTCCCTGGAGAAAGAAATGCTTCTCACTTAGAAATCGTAGAAATTGAGATCAAATTTTACTGAACCACATCCCACCTATCCCCCCACCCTAACATAGTTCAGCAAAGTCCCATTTTTCCCCCTAAAAACCTCCCTGCCTACATCCATATTAGAGTCAGAGGATTCCTAGGTGGCACAAGTGGTTAAGCTTGACAACTATCTGGTGGAGGCTTGAACCCACCTAGAGACTCTTTGGAAGATCTGCTTCCAAAAGGTCATGGACTTGAAAACCCTGTGCAGCAGTTCTATTCTGCACAGATGGGATCCCCATGAGGCACAATGCAGCAATTAACAACATACAGTTACAAGGAGAGTCGGTGTCTGAAGATGGAAAGAAGTGGCAGGGGAGGAGACAGGCTCTCAGTGTTAGTCTTTAATGTCTGGTAAATTAAAGTGGTAAAAATCAGCTTTCAGAAAAAAATGTTTTGTTTCTTGAAAATAGAGATGGAAGAGTTAGGAAAGTCTGCTTTATTACTAACTTCTTTTATTTCTTTTTAAAAATCCAGAAAAAAAGAAATTATACATCTGTATCTGTACATGTTTGTGCATTTGGTTTATGGATTGACAGAGAATATTTAAGGGTGTTCACACAAGAGTTAGCATCAGCTGACAGGAAACAGGACTTGTGGGATGGACTGAGGCCAAGTCTTAAGAAATTCCAGAAAGTCTTAAAGTTAAAGTGTCTTGTCTTCTCTTAATAGATTATAATGACTAAAGCTCCCTCAAAGTTTCTGAGTAAAAAGATTTGAAATGTGATAAAAAATGTGTTGGTGTTGAAATTCCTGTTTTCCTCCTTTCTGTGTTCTTTTCTGTACTTAAGAAATATTAAAGGAAATCCCTCCTCTTCCTGTACCTCAGATTACCCCTTGTAAAATGAGAATCATAAAATCCATCTCAATTACATTTGAGATCTTGTTATTATATTTGAGTGGTTCCAAGATAAAAAGGTATTGAGGGAAAGGTGCGCCTGACCCAAGCCATGGTATTTTCAATAACCTTATATGCATGTAAAATTTGGACAGTAACTAAGGAAGAACGTAGAAGAATCGATGCTTTTGAGTTTTGGTGTTGGAGGAGAATATTGAAAGTGCCATGGGCTGCCCATAAAACCAACAGATCTTTATTGGAAGAAGTGCAGCCAGAGTGCTCCTTGGAGGCCAAGATGGCCAGACTTCGTCTCTCATACTTTGGACATATTGTCAGAAGGGACCAGTAGCTGGAGAAAGATGTCATATTTGGTAAAGTGGAGGGTCTGAGAAAAAGAGGAAGACCCCCAGCGAGATGGATTGGCCAAGTGGCAGCATCAGTAGGCTCAAGCATGGCAACAATAGTGAGGTTGGCCCAGAATCGGGCCGTGTTTTGTTCTGCTGTGCATAAGGTTGCTATGAGTTGGCACCAACTCGATGGCACCTAACAACAACAACAACAACAATTACATCTGGGGCCTTGTTAAAGCCCTCTCATCTCAGAGCTATACTATAGTCCTCTCAGAACTGGTGTCAGGATAACTTTGTTTACAGAGACACTTCTCCCTAGATTTCTTTAGACCACATGATTTTGTGTGCTGTTTATAGTACTTTCAGAGAAAGAAATAATTCAGAGTATTGATAACCTCATGGACCAAAAGATTTTTATTTAATCCAGTAGTTTAAATAAAACACTAGAAAAGGTGCAACAGTAAGAGCGTTTTATGCATTTAAAGCCAAGGAAAGCTCTTTCTCCTGGCCTACCATTTATTCTAGTTCTAAATCATTTTGTTCCTAGCAACACAAGTGTGGGGACTTCACTTTAGGCAGGCAGGGGTGTGTGAGTAAAGCTATAGACAAGAAAACTGAACTCTACAGGATGCAACATGTAACACATACTCTTGAAATTGTACTTGAACTTTACCTTTGACAGAAAGTAAATATTTGAAATACTACTCCAGTATTAAGAATGCAGAGTCCATTAACTTTTATTTAAAAACAAAAAAAAAATTTTAGACTTTCTCTCTTTCTGAGTCCTGAAAGTTTGATTTTTATAGTGATCATTTTTCTGTGCAGCAGCATCTGGAATAAATCTTTGGAATTTCCTTTATTTGAATGATCAGTAAATAAGAAATGTGTTGAAACCAAAACAAAAGTATGTGGAGGGATGGTGTCCTGCCAAACCTAACCTTTCCCTTGGCTGGTGACCTTCATTTCCAGACAAGACCTGCTCCTGTAGCCAGGAGTATGTTATGAGTCATATGGATGAGGTTAATGTTAGTACAACTGAGCTGAGTATGATGTGGCAAGGTTAGAGTCTTACCGCTTATTTTGGGTTTTATTAAAATAGAGTTAATAAAATTATATTTAATAATGTAAATAGCAAACCTAACTGGAGATGTTGTTAAGTGCTGTAGTTGTTGTTGTTAAGTGCCATCAAATCGGTTCCGACCCACAGCGACCCTGTACAGGGTTTCCGAGGGTGTAAATCTTTACGGGAGTAGAAAGCCTCATCTGTCTCCCGCGGAGCAGCTGGTAGTTTCGAACCACTGACCTTAAGGTTCGCAGCCCGATTCATAACCACTATGCTGTAGAGTTGGTTCTAAATCATAGTGACCCAGTATAGGGTTTCCAAGGAGTGACTGGTGAGCTTGAACTGCCGACTTTGTGGTTCAAAGTGACTTTGCAGTACAGCGTATTAGCCCACAGAGCCATATCAGGACTCCATAAGTTATATTAAACATACACTGAATGAAGCATTCCATATTTTTTTTGGAGTCCTGGTGTGGCTCTGTGGGTTAATGTGCCACACTGCAAAGCTGTTTGAATTGCAAGGTCGTCGGCAGTTCAAACTCACCAGCTGCTCCTTGAAAACCCTATACAGGGTTGCTGTGTGTCGGAACCAACTTGACGGCACTTAACAACAAGGACATATTCTAATTTGGGAGCATAGTGGCTCTGTAAGATAAGCGCTGTACTGCAAACCATAAGGTCAACAATTTGAGCCCACCAGCCACTTCATGGGAGAAAGAAGAGGCTTTCTGCTTATGGAAAGATTTATAGCCTCAGAAACCCTATACTGGGTCACTGTGAGTTGGAATCAACTCAATGGCACTTAACAACAACAACATATTCTTATTTCAGAAGCCCTGGTGGCAATGTGGGTTAAGTGTTGGGCTACTAACTGAAAGGTCAGCGGTTCAAACCTACCAGCCACCATGGGAAAAAGAAGAGGTTGTCTGCTTCTGTAAAGGTATGAGTCAAAATCGACTCGATGGCAGTACGTTGAGTTGGGTTTGGTGGATCGTGGTTAAATGTTGAGTTGCTGACTGCAAGGATGACGTTTCGAACCCACTAGCCACTCTACAGGAGAAAGCTGTGATAATCTGCTTCTGTAAAGATGATCGCCTTGGAAACTCTGTGGAGCAATTTAATAACTGAATTTAAAAGTGTACCAAGTGTTTTACTTTCCTGTAATATGGAATTTCAGATATATCTCCTGCTTAAAGTTATCTGGAAATAAATTGGTATTTGAATGATAGCATCTGATTGAAGGCTCTCGTTACAAACTGAGCAAATATGATATACTATGTACATATACTATGTCCACAGACATTCTATGACACTAAGTGGCTTTCTCTTGAGTTACTTTTCCAGTCTTAAAAACTGTAATTTACAACTGTAAATTGGAAATCTAGATATGAGGTAAGAATAACTGGAATGATTTACAGAGATCATAAAGTACTGTATTTTAGAAATCGGTACCATCCACACTTCTATGAGTGTTGGAAATACATGAAACATCATGGTCTCTGTCCTCAGTGAGCTAAGAGTAGTCTAATGGAGGGACATTTCATATAGCAGTTTGATGCGTCTTGCAATGGAAGTGTAACCAGCTACCATGGGAACAGGAGGAACTAGATAAATTTATGTAGGAGGAGTAAGGTGAACTTCCCAGAGGAGATTTCACTTAGTTGAGTCTTGTAGAAACAGACCTTTGCTAGACAACAGAAGGATAAAAGGGTGATCTGAATGGAAGGAATCTCACTTGTAATAGCTTGGATTGGACCTACAGGCAGTTGGCTTATTTTGAAGGTAAAGGGAAGAAGCAGAAAATGCCCAGTGAAGAAGAGGCTAGATAGTAGATAGGTAGGAATCAGATCTAGCATGGATGTACTGAGAATGTTGGATTAATTCTAAGTGTGTAATGGAGTCGCTAAAGAATTTCAAACAGGAAAGTCACATAATAATATTTGTATCATGGGAAATTTATGCTGACAGCACCATAGAGCCTGGATTGAAGGTGAGGACAAAGACGATGATATTGTTGGCCAATGCAGCAACAGTGGGTATAAGGTGAGGTGGAATAGGGAAATAGCAGGTACTGCTTTCAGGACTTGGCAGTTAGGAGGGACATATCATTGTCACCTGGAACATGAGAATTCCCTTCCAATAATTGTTTAAATCACAAGACTGGCTAGTTAAGCTAGTTGGACACTGGTTATTAACATAGAATATTATCTATATAGAGTTATTTATCCCTGGGTACTTGTGACTGTATAGTACTTGATGTGCAATATAAAAGCATGTGCAATATAAAAATGAATTAAAAGTTTAATCTTTTCTGGATTTTATTTATAAAGGAGATTAACAAGTCTTCTTTCTGAACATTGCATTAAACAGTTCCCATCTTTTCTTCAAAGCTCATTTTTTAGATTTTGTTTTCCAAACAGATTCTTCAAGCCCAGAGCCGAAGTGCAGGTGGAAGGAGAATCTCTGAAAACAGCTGTTCTCTAGATGACTTGGAAATAGGTCCAGGTGAGCCATGTATGTGAAGTCCTCAAGGCCAGTGAACTGTCTATGTGGGATCAAATTGACAGCAGCAACTCAAAAGCTGAGGTGAACTCCTGAGGGGCCAGTGAGTGTATGTTAATGGGGAAGGAACAGCTTGAAAAAGGGATACAACTTGAGAATGTATATATATGCCTTCAAGAATGTAATCAACATCATTGAATTGTACTTGTAGAAATGGTTGAATTGATACATGCTTTGCTGTCTATATTCTCAACAACAACAAAATAATTGTTTTAAAAGATTAGCAAAAATGAAAAGAAAATCTATCTGTTAGATACATACCCAAATCACATTGTTCTCCACAAATAGCTCCTCTATATTTTTAATCCATCTTTGTTAGTGACAACCTGTGGTAACAAAGACGTACCTTTCAGACCTTCTGAAAGGGAATTGCTACAGAGAATTTTAGTTCACAGTCATCTGGGAATTGAAGACTTCTATACATGGGGGATGTCTCTACCAAGATAGGTTATACTGTACCGTACTGCCTTTAGAACAGAATTAACTATACTTAGAAAAGGCCATATTCAGGCACTTCACCAAAGAAAAAAAGTGTAATTAATAAATACAGGAAAATCATCAGCCTCCCAATAATCAAGGAAATAAATATAAATTAATACTGCATTGGGATCTCATTTGTTCACATGTTAAATTAGCCACATTTTTTAAAAAAAATGCATACTAATTATGGTAAGGAGTGTCTTCTTTTAAAGTTGGGAAAGTGAGTGAGTATTGCCTAGTAAATGACAATTAAATTTCTGGTTTATTTCTTTGTACTCTTATTAGAAGAAATTGGCCATTAGATTGTAATAGCCCAAAATTTAAAACCTTTAAACCATTTGAATTATATTTTCTCTTTTAATAAAGCATGTTATTCGCTTGCTTTCAGGGCATTTGACATCGTCTGCATTCAACTCTGAGAAAGGTGAGAGTAGGCGAAATGTGGAGCTCCCACGCCTGTCAGAAACCTCCATAAAGGATCGAATGGCCAAGTACCAGGCAGCTGTGTCCAAACAAAGCAGCTCAACCCAGTCTGTGGTATGTGTTCCTCATCATTCATTCATTCATTCATTTCTCATCTGGCAAATGGTCACTGAGTACTTGTAGTTCAGTGCCATTGAATTGGTTCCGACTTTACAGCAACCCTGGATAGGGTTTCCCAAGAGCAGCTGGTGGGTTTGACCTTCCGACCTTGTGGTTCACAGTCCAGTGCTGATACTACCACTGAGCACTGGGAGTAGAGAATATCTTCCAGGCCCTTATTTTAGGACCTGGATTCACCATTGTTCCCCTAATGTTTGTTTTGCACTAAGCCCTACCTTGGCTTCACTGGGAACCCTAACCATGGTCTCATCCAGAGTTGGCTTTCCTAGACCTCATTCCTACCACACTCATTTTTGTGTATGTGAATGATGTTGCCATCCAGTAATGTCATTGAGAATTTTTCTGGCTCTTCTATTTAACCTTTTTTGCTTTATTCTATTAAGGAAGTATTATTTTTAAAGTTTTAATAAAAACTTGTATTTTATTTTGGTGTTTGAGGGGATAAAGGGAATATTCAAAGAGAAATATTGAATGTGTTCAACATTAATGTGGGGACTTTTTGTAATATTTTATTAAGTTGTAATTCATATAACATGAAAAATTATTCACCATTTGTAATTGTACATTCAGTGTTTTTTAGTATTTTTATAAGGTTGTATATATAACTTTTACTTACCATAATCAAGTCCATAAACTTTTTATCACCCCAAGAAGAAATCCCAAACCTGTTAACAGTCACTGCCAATTCCTCCTTTCTCACTTTCTGGCAGTCACTAGTCTATTATCTGCCTTGAATTTGTTTATTCTGGACATTTCATATACATGGAATCATACAATATATTGCCTATTGTTGTTGTTGCTAAGTGTTTAGGGTTTCCAAGGAATAGCTGGTGGGTTTAAACTGCCATCCTTGTAGTTAGCAGTCCAATGCTTATCCTACGGCATCACACAAGGACTGTAATAAATTATTTACCTAATCTTTAACACTTACTATGTGATGATTTCCTAAAGAGGTAGAATTGTTATTTGTAGTTGTTGTTATGTGCCGTGGAGTCGGTTCTGACTCATAGTGACCCTGTATAGGGTTTCCGAGGCTGTAAATCTTTACGGAAGCAGAAAACCTCGTCTTTTTCCCGTGGAACAGCTGGTAGTTTCGAACTGCTGACCTTGCGGTTCGCAGCCCGATTCTTAACCATTACACTACCAGAGCTCCTTGAATTGTTATTGTTGTTGTTGTTGTTATGTGCCATGGAGTCAGTGCTGATTCATAGCGACCCTGTACAGGGTTTCTGAGGCTATAAATCTTTACGGGAGCAGAAAGCCTCATCTTTCTACCACGGAACAGCTGGTAGTTTCGAACTGCTGACCCTGAGGTTTGCAGCCCGATTCATAACCACTACGCTACCAGAGCTCCTTTGAATTGTTATTAATTGCCATCAAATTGGTTCTGACTCATAGTGACCATTTATATAGGGTTTCCAGGGAGTGGCTGGTGAGTTTGAACTGCAGACCTTGACGTTAATAGTCCAGTTGGCAGTTACACTAGGACTTCAAAAATAAGAAAAAGGGAGACAAATGGCATGCTGAGTAAACACAAAATTTGGTATGCTAAATATATCCATTCATCATTTATCTGTTAGTGTAGGTTACAAAGCTCAGGTTATTATGTGAAAATCAGCATTAAATAAAAATGGAAGATGACCACATCAAATCACAAAATGAAGGATGATTACATCATTGCATAACTATCAATTTACATTGCTGCATAACCACCAAATCTGAGAATCATGACCCAGACAACTTGATACATAACCTCAACCATCATAACTAGCATTATTCTCGCCTCACACCTCAGCACTGGTTACTGTCAGACATACGTTATTAATGTGCAAAAATACATTATTAATGTGCAAAATACTAATGTCATAAATGCAAAATAACGAGAGTCCATAAGTAAGGAGTAGGTGTGGAATGGATGGTCTCCTTATTTTATATTCACCTAAACTTAACTGGGGGAGTCCTGATATAGCGCTGTGGGTTAATGCTCCAGACTGCGAAGCTGTTTGAACTGCAAGGTCGATGGTTCAAGCTCACCAGCTACTCCTTGGAAACCCTATACAGAATCACTATGGGTCGGAATTGACTCGAAGGCACATAACAACAACAACAGAAACTTAACTGGAGTCCTGGCGTGGCCCTGTAGGATAAGCACTGAACTGCTCTTCACAAGGTTGGAGGTTCAAACCCCCAGCCGCTCCTTGGAAACCCTATACAGGGTCACTATGAGTCAGAACTGATTTGATGTCGCTTAACAACAACAACAAGCTTAACTGACAGGCTGACATTATAGAGCTATTTATGTTACCTTTTTTAAATGTAATTTATACACATACACACTTTTGTTCCTTCTAAGATTCCAAATTACAGATGTCCTGTTGTGGCACCACAGGCTAAGTACTGGACCATTAACCACAATGTCAACGGTTCAAACCCACCATCACTCTTTGAAACTCTGTACAGGGGCACTATGAGTCGGAACTGACTCAGAGGCACTCAATATCAACAACAATCTCTTGATGTCCTGATTTTTTACCAAAGTTGGAAGAATAGCATTGAATTTTACTTTTCTTAGGCAGATTGAAACTGGTGCATATTGGAAATCATAATGTGTATTCTGGGAGCTAGCCTTCTTTACTCTATGTTAGTAAGTATGCATTATCCCATTGCATTGGTGGAGTAATTCTCTGGGCAGTGAATAATTTCATCTGAATTTTTCTATTGAGATTGTTGTACAGTGACGATGTATGTGTATCAGTAGCAAAGTAGACCATCACAGGCTCAGTATTCACTGTGAGTATGAAAAATGAGCAAACTTAAGACTTCTCCTAGAAGACAAGTCAGGAGACAGTTAAGTAGGTGATCTGTGGAGCTTAATTCCCTTTTGCTACAAGATTTTGCTGCTTCTCAGTTCCCTCCTACTACCAACATTCTGTCCAAGTGATTCCAAAGTGGAAAAACCTGTTCAGTGACTGTTTTTCACTCCTAATAGAGTTTTTACATTGCAATTCTCCTGCTCTATGAATTGTAGGAGTTCAAAAATCTTTAGGAATTCTTATAAAAAGTACATTTTATCTCATTCCAAAAGAATTTCTCAGGCCCCTTCTAGAATATGGCTGTAAGAAAGCACACACCTTCTGGCAGTAGTTCTGCAGGCTGGGCTTTGAGATTGGCTCAGGAGGGCGTTGGACTGTAATGTTGTGTTCTTTGGTGTTGGCTGCCAGCTCCTCCTCATAGGTGCGCCTCCAGGAACTGTGTGCCTTTATATGGAATACCACACCTGAGTAAGCCAGTCATACTCACAAATCAGAGCCCTGTGGCCATAAGTTGCTAAAGGAAGACCTCATGCTAAGAGAACTGAAAGAAACTAAATTACTAAATTATTAGAGGACATAAGAAACCCTTGGGGTAGTTCTGTTTTGTCATTTAGGGTCTCTGGGAGTCAACCCAGCAACTTACATAACAACAGGTAGCAAAGGAGCCCCTGGGTGGATCAAAGATTAACATACTTAGCTGCTAACCAGAGGTGTTTTGAAAGAAAGGCCTGATGATCTTCTTCCAAAATATCAGCAATAGAAAACCCTGTGGCGCACACTTCTACATGGAGTTGCCATGAGTTAGAATTGACACAATGAAAGATAGGAAATGTCCATATTCACCTACCTATATGTTGATTTTGGATCTAATAAAGTTAATTTTAATATTCTACCCCAACTGATGTTAGAAGAAAAAGAAAATGACTGTGTTTTCTTATTGTGACACTATTACTGAATGCTGTTTTTATGTCAAGACTATTATGAGGAGTAAAATAAGGTAAGTCATTAGCAAAAGGCATGAATTATATGTGAAAAACATGTTTTGAAAATCCCACAATAAATATTGTTTTATGGTATCATTAATATAATTTCTGTTTTGATCTGTATACATCATCCCTGTCTCTCTTTCCAGGCCAAGCATTTATGTATATGGTCAGTATATTTTCTTAATTATTGGCACTTGGCATCTCCTTTTCCCTGCTCCAGAATGGTCTTTTCTGATAAAATTCACAAGCTTTGCATTCCCACAAGCTCGGCTGCTAGAAGAGTGAATCACAAGAGAATGTGTCTGTCTGTGCTGGTGTGTGTGTTCATTCTAATGAGCATCCAGTTTTAGACTACTGTACAAATATTTAACTCTGAAGTATGTGTCCACAAGCTGCTTTTGTCATTTCACTAGGCTATGGATTTTGCTTGTGAGAGGGGATTGATCTGACCTGAGGCTTCTTAAAAGCAAGTTTATTTTAATGTCCCAAGTTTTCTTAATAGATGTACTATGAAGAAAATGGAATGGTGAGAATTTGAAAAAATTTTTAAAATCACAGGTTATTTTTGTTTTGTAGAATGACTTGAGAGCTAGCGGTGGTGAATTCAAAACTCATAAATTGGAACAAAAGGAGAATGTGCCCCCAGGCCCTGAGGTCTTCATCTCTCATCAGGATGGAGAAAAGGTAGGGTGAAAAGTCTGATGTCCAGTTGCCAAAGAAGCATGTGTTCTAAAGCAGATGCTTAAAATTAGAAACAACCCTAACTCTAAAGCTGTAGAGTGTCTGGGAATTTGTTAACAGCTGCCAGGACAGATTGTCATTTTTGCAGGTCACATAATTTTGGTTGGAGAGCTCTGACACGTATCACTGACCAAATAATGAGCCTTCATTGGAAAAATCTTTTGCTCAGCAAATGTTCAGAGGGAAGAGAGTTAAAATGTTTTGATTGGCGATATTACTTTCAAAGTACTTGTATATTGTTAATTTAAGTAGATATTTAACAAATTTTATTCAAGAAAGTCTCATTCTTTCACTCAAAGTATTTTGAAAGCTGGGCACTATGCTAAGCTTTAAAAAGTCATACCATTCCATGTGGTTTTCATATGATCTTCAAGGAAGCTAACTGGGAAAGGGAAGACAAGTACCAGGTTGGCTATCATAAAATAATATAAATGCTATGGGGGGGCAGTGCAGGGCCATGGATACTCAGATGAAGGACACGTAACCTGACTTCCTATCAAAGGTGATGTCTGAGCCATGTCTTGAAGACTATGGGGAATGTGTGTAAGGGGGATGTTGAGTAAAGAAAAAGAAGGCCATTGCAGGCAGACACACATGTGTGAAGGCTTAGAAATCAGAGATCACAGCATACTTATCAATTGCAGGTTAGTTGACTTAGCTGGAGCATGAGTTCATAGAGACAGGGGTGTGAGTTAGGCAGAGGGAAAAAGGCCAGAGTGAAAAACTTGAAAATTTTTATATACCACACTTAAGAGTGTGGATGTAGTCCTGCCACTGAAGGATTTTTTTAAGCAAATCAGATTTGTTGTATATGCATTAATCATTGTATGAATGGTTTAGTTTGAGTAAGTAGCAATATCAAGGTCAGGTGAATTTATCATTTTGTCTTCCAATCCAGTACCCCGCCTTTTTGGTCTTTCTGTCAATATGATTTTCAAATGTTAAGCAAAATGAGGAGAAAGGGCTTTCAAATCTATTATATTGATTAATCTTAGGAGGAAAAACCATTACTCCTAATGCCATTCTTCCAAAAGATGAGGAGGTAATTAAAGTAGGTCAAGAGCAATAGTTCTCAAACTTACTTGACTATAATTCATTTTGAAAAGTATGATGTATTGACTGAATACTAATGAGAACTTGCTAGACACACTGCATACTTGCATCAGGAACACAGAAAAATAGCCTAATGACTGCAAAATTTGATTCATAGAATTGTTGTTGTTATTTTTGACTCATGGCGACTCTATATATAGAGTTTCCAAGGAACGAATGGTGAGTTTGAACCTCTGACCTTGTAGTTCAAACCAACCTCATGGCCCAGTGCTTATCCTACAGCACCACACCAGGATAGAAGAGAAAAAAATTTAGAAAAATTAAATCACTGCCCTATTTCTTTAAATATTACAAATTTATATTGAAATAATAAGACAGAAATGCAGTAGTTACATAATACATGATCTTGCAGTCATCAAATAAATTACATATGTCCTTGCAACAGTGGACTTATGAATGCATCCACAAATCACATGTACATGAAGTATACTCTCTCATTAGACTGCCTGGTTTTCTCAGGCTTAGCATGTCAATTTTTAAATGGAAGACTATTAAGAATAATTAAGTAAATATTTTTGCTGTTTGTCTTAGTTTCCTAGTACGATTGTAACAGAAATGGCTGGCTTCAAATAACAGAAATTTATTTTCTCACAGTTCTGGAAATTTAAGTCCAAATCAGTGTCTCAGCCATGTTGAGTCTTTACTTGATGGTAGCCCTAGGTATTCCTTGATTTATATACAGTTCTCACATGGCATCTGTCTTCCCTCATCTGTGTGTTATCTCTGTATCTAATCTACTCTTTTCAGAACTGAGAACCCATTTTACTTGGAACACATGTTTAACATAACAAAGAAAACATTGTTTCCAAACACTGTAATATCCACAAGTATAGGTTTAAGATTCTAGCACATCTTTTGGGAAAGTGCCATTTAATCCACAATAGTTTTCTTATGTACTGTGAAACTGGAAGTTTTAACAGGGGAAAAAAACAAAAACCATCCACATGTGTGTTCGCTTACCTTATAGTGGTACCCTGTGTATTGCTGTGATGCTGAAAGGGATACCCTGGTATTTTAAATACTAGCAGGGGCACCCATAAAAGGACAGATTTCAGCTGAGTTTCCAGACTTAGACAGTGCCATAGAGTTGGTTCCAACTTACTGCAACCCTGTATAAGGTTTCCAAGGAGCAGCTGGAAACTCTCCTTATAGTTTGCAGTGCAGTGCTTATCCTACAGTGCCACACCAGGTGTCTAAAACAGACTAGGAAAAAGGAAAGGCAGACCACTTTTAAATAATTAGCCACTGAAAACTTTCCGAATAGCAGTGGAACATTGTCATACAGAAGAATCTTAATATTATTTTGAGTTAAAAAGCAGTGTTACAACTATAAAGGTAGAAGTTTTGTAACAAAAAGGGGGGAGTAGTTAATCTTACAGTCCAGGAACAGAGGACCCTAGCTAGGACCATCAAGGGAGAAGAGCATGAGTAGAATGTGGGACCCTATTCAGAGAAGCAGTGACACCAGAGATGGAGGCAGAGATGATGACATGGAGAAATAGAGCAGCTGAGGACTCTAGACTCATGGAAAAAGAAAACTGTGTGCTGGCCGCCAGGAGGCAGGCTTGCAGAACATGCCCTTTGGTTGTTTAAATGATTATATATTCCTGAGTGTTTTTGTGTACATCCCCCCAAAAAAAACCAGAGGGAACAGAAGCAAATACTGTTGAATGATGATGCATGGAGGAGATTGTAATCATTGCAATGAAACAATGAGTGTAAAACCTATGTTCTCCCATGTAAATTATCACTCAATTCACAATAAAAACTTAAAAAAAAAGAAAGACAAGGAATAATGAAAAATTCATGCATTTGAATTATGGTGTTAGTGAAGAATATTGAAAGTATCATGGACTGTTAGAGGAACAAACAAATCTGCCTTGAAAGGATTGCAGCCAGAATGTTCCTGAAGCGAGTATGGTGAGACCTGGCTTTTGTACTTTGGACATGTTGTCAGGAAGGACCAGTCTCTGGAGAAGGACATAATGCCGTGTACAGTAGAGGGTCAGCAACAAAGAGGCAGCTCCCAATGAGATGGATTGACACAAGGGCAGCAAAAATGGGCTCAAACATAAACACAGTTGTGAGGATGGCGCAGGACTAGGGAATGTTGTTGCACTCTGTCATGCATAGGGTTAGTATGAGTCAGCAGCAACTCAACAGCCCCTAACAACAGAGAAAAATATTCTCAGCATTGAAATACCCCCATCCGCACCATACATAGTTTGGGAAATAATTATGTGGAAAATAATGCTTGGGTTGTCTCTATAGCTAATTTCATATTTCTTTCCTGATTGTCTTCGATGCTGATTTGAAACTGGAACTCTGAGCTAAATTGGAAGCTCAGAACTTTTTAATTATAGCCTTAAAGGGCATTAGTGCAACTGAATCACAAATTGGGGAGTGAATGGGGAGGAAAGAGGATAAAGATAGTACATATTCTTCAAGGACACTCTACAGGTTTATAAACCCATGACTGCCTTAAAATCCTACAATTTTTATGAATCTCTGCTTTCCTTTTGGTTGTTTGCCTAACTTTTGTTAACTAGTGTTGTTGTTGTTAAGTGCCTTCGAGTCGGTTCCAACTCATAGTGACCCTGTAAAGGGTTTCCAAAGAGCAGCTGGTGAGTTTGAACTGCCAGCCTTGCAGTTCAAACCGACCTTGCAGTCCAGCGCATTATCCTGCACTCCTTGTTAACCAATACCTAAGCATTACTTACACTTCGGCTTATTACCAAAAGAATGTTAATAGTAGAACAAACTGACTTGAAATGGAATATTTTGTCAAGGTATTTATTGTTGCTCCCTTTCTCCTCTTGTAAATGAATTTGTGCTTTCCTTCAATATTTAAGCAAAGCCTCACCTGACTTTTCCTGCAGTGAAGTCATCTGGTTGGGCATGTGCAGTGATGTCATAGTTGGCATTCAGTTTACCCTGCAGATTCAAGATGACCAAATTAGAAGTCAGAAGAAAATGTCTTGGAATGGATGTACCGTACCTACTAATTAGCAAGAATTAAAGTGCTATTAAAAGGAGCTCTGGTAGCGAAGTGGTTATAAATCGGGCTGCAAGCCTCAAGATCAGCAGTTCGAAACTACCAGCTGTTCCGTGGGAGAAAGATGAGGCTTTCTGCTCCTGTAAAGACTTACAGCCTCAGAAACCATGTACAGGGTTGCTATGAGTTGGAACTGACTCCATGGCATATAACGACAACAACAAAGTGCTATTAATGGTCATACAAAACTTTCAGAAAATTTATTTCAAATTATTAAATGAGATAATGCACAAAAGGTGCTTTAGTCCAATACCTAGCACACAGTAAACACTCAATAAATGTTGGCTGTTGCTGTCCTGATTTGTTTTATACCCATTTAGAATTCCTATAACGAGAAGTATAGTTGAAAAAAATTGAACTGTAATTCTGGAGCAGCCAGCCAACAACTTAATCTCCATTGCAAATTTATTCTTGGCCCTCAAGACCCCTGAAATCTGAATTAAAGAATATTCCATGCAGGGTCCACATTTTTTGACCCTTGTGATTTGGAGTATAAAGGGTCTTAGTTAAGAGGAAGACCCCCAGCAAGATGGATTGGCCAAGTGGCAGCATCAATGGGCTCAAGCATGGCAACAATAGTGAGATTGGCCCAGGCTCGGGCAGTGTTTTGTTCTTTGCATAAGGTCACTATGAGTCAGCACCGATTCGATGGCAGCTAACGACAACATAACAGAAATACAATAAATAGGTGACTTAACAAAAAGATTTATTTTCTGATAGTTTGGTGGTGGTTGTATACCAAGAAGTCGGTTCCAACTCATAACGACTCTGTGTAGGGTTTCTGATGCTATAAAATTTTACCAGAGCAGAAAGCTTCATCTTTCTCCCATGGAGCAGCTGACCTTTCGGCTAGCAGCCTAACTTGTAGCCCAGTACCACACCAGGTCTCACAGCTTCCAAATGTCAAAGTCCAAATCTAGAGTTCTGGCTCTAGGGGAAAGCTTCTTTCAGCTGACTATGGAGTGAAGTCTTTGTCTCTTCTGAGCTCCTGGGCATTCTTTATTCATGTGGCTTGGTATCTCCCATCTCTGATTCTCTAACTTGCTTGGTTAGTCCCCTTTATACCGCAAAAGATTGACTCAAAATACACCCTGCACTTAGCCAGTCTCTTTAACATAGCAAAGACAACCCATTCCCAAATAAAATTATAACCAAAACCATAGAGGTTAGGATTTATAACACATATTTTGAGGGGACACAATTCAAAAAATAACTTGGAGAGAGCTAGTAGAAAGTTCTTTTACTTACATTCTGGGAAAAATATATATACCTACACATAAGATCTGCCTTCTTGTTAAACACTGCTGTTTTGAGACTGGGATGATAAAGGAAAACTATCCTTGAAGACGGAGTCCTGGTGTGACAATGTGGGTTAATGTGCTGGACTGCAAAGTCAGTTTGAACCACAAGGTCGGTAGTTCAAGCTCACCAGCTGCTCCTTGGAAACCCCATATAGAATTGCTATGGGTCGGAACTGACTCAACCGTACTTAACAACATCCTTGAAGATAATAATAGCTGAAGTTAGTTCAAGGTAAAATAACTTTATCTAACTATCAAAAGGTCTTCTGTACTGGCAAGCGTATTTCATCAGAACACACTTGGTTAGGAAATAAGAAATTGGAGGGAGAAGGGGAGTAAGAATAGGTCCTATATTTAAAGACTTTATCTTTTCTTGGAGTGAGTTATAGTGAGCTTTGCTCTCCCTGAATAAAGGTCCTTGTTTTGCTTTGTTTTGGGAGAATGGAAAGATATAGTTTAGAAGTTCTTTTATAAAGGGAGATGATGCATACTTTTGGCAGTTGAGTGCAGTCTGTTTCTGAGTTGCTCTGTAATTGAGAGGCATGTTAATATCCTCATTAAAGACATTTTGCTGCCTCTTGTTTAAATGCTCAGCTGTTCTCCTGCCCGTTATTACCCCCAGGCAGCCAGTGACTGACTGGAGTCAGCAGGTTTTTATGGCATTAACAGCAGTTTGCTCTTTTATTTTTAATGTGGTTCTTAATCCTCTCCCCCTTTTTTTTTGTAGGTTTCTGCAATCGAGAATAGCCTGGCATTCCGTTCCTCCCCTGCTGAAGATGACTCCTGTAAGCATTTGTTCTTAGAATTTGGAGGTTAAGGTCCTCATTCTCAAACCTGCATTTGGCTCAGGAGTGTCCCTGTTACTGTCAAGTGCTGAGAAAGTAACATATTAAATCCATCAAATCTGTCATTTGGTTTTAAGGACTGATGCTTGAATATCCTTCACACATTTCATTGCTTAGGGCAAAGTTAAGTTCAATTAAATATGATTGACTTGGGACAAAACAAATGCTTTTAATGCTCTTTCATTGAATTACTCCTATCTTTTATATCAAACACTTTCAGGGTTAAAGTTGTTTAAACTAATTTTGAAGTTTAATTTGTAATAGACGTTTGATCAAGAAGGATTTTATTCATCTACAGGGGTAAAAAATTGGGATTTGAGTTGCCTCCTAAAAATATCTTTTTCCAGTTTAGCTAAATATGCAGTCTACCTTCTAGAATTTTCTAGGAATTTTCTTGCTAAAAGAATAGTGTGCTGAATTTTGTCACCTTTCATCCTATTTGGAATCAGTCTAAGCCTCATTTCTACCAAAGAAAAGAACCTTTGGTTTTTACTTTACTATGTTCCCTTTTGATTCAGATTTTAAGTGTATCATTTAGAAATATGAGGGGCTTTAAAAAGTTCATGGAAAATTTCCATTATCTTTTCATGCCATTAAAGCCCCCTGGTACATTTTTGGACTTTAGTTTCTCCTCAGGCTAGCTTACTAGACACTAGAAACTCCACAATGGAAATATAACCTTTAAGAGGTCACCCTACTTTAAAACTGAAGGAAAAAATGTGCTCACCTGAGTTCAGGAACACTCCTTTTGCAATCATTTTCTTGACCTAGAAATGTTTCTGAGTTTTTACTAGGTTTGTAAAATATTTTTAAAAATACAAGCCTGTATCTTTTAGTACTTTGTCGACTCAGTTCTAGATTTTTAAGTATTTATGGTTCCTAAGTGACTGTGTAAAGGACATTATTGTGCCTCTTCTTAATTCTATAGGATGAATATGGTGGCAGTAAATTAACTCATGCAGGTGGTATTTCAATTATTATATTTAAAAAAAAACAAGCAACCTGCCATTATGATACCTTTTCCTATAATTTTCATCTATGATTTCATCATCTTATACCTGTGATGGTGTTGTTGTTATGTGCTGTGGAGTCGGTTCTGACTCATAGCGACCCTGTCCAGGGTTTCCAAGGCTGTAAATCTTTATGGGAGCAGAAAGCCTCGTCTTTCTCCCGCGGAACAGCTGGTAGTTTCGAACTGCTGACCTTGCAATTCGCAGCCCGATTCGTAGCCACTACGCTACCAGAGCTCCTTATACCTGTGATAAGACTGATTAAAAAGAAAATGGTATCAAATTACACAGAATATGATATTTCTGCCTTCATATCCCCCTACTTTCCCACCTTCAGCTTGAAGTACCCCAGAAAGAGTGATTGGGAGTGCTAGCTACCAAAAAGACATTTAGGTCTACCACCAGCCTTTCGAAACAACAAATACTACAGAGCAGAAGGTTCTTTATACAGGGTGGTTTGGATTCATGCTGTGTCTGACGAAAGGTAGAAAGTCTCCTAGCTCCAAGATCTGAAAGAATCTAAGTAGCATAACTTTTAGTGTTAGAATATTTGTTAGCAGAAAAGCAATGTTTTTTGTTGTTGAAAAAGACCTCTCAGTAGTGGGAGTGCCTACACTTTGCTTTTGGGAGGAACTCTTTCTGAGACTTACATGAGATATATAAAATGTCTTGCTTTTATAATTGAACCAGGTAACTCCCAGGTTAAGAGTGAGATCCAGCAGTCTGCCCTTCCCAAGCAGCTAAGTCCAGAAGCCAGAACCTCCAGCCTTTCTGAAAGTTCTCCACCAAAGGCAGCGAAGGTATGGTGGCTATTTCTCTCTAAGGCTTTATACTTCAGTTTGCTAGTTGAATGAATTGCTCCTTTTATCATTATGTCCATTATAAGTTGCTTTTGTTTCCTGAGGGTATACAGAAGCCAGATTATTTTTCCTGGATAGCTTGTGCTTTTTTTTTTTTTTGCTGGGGTGATTGTGCTAGGAAGGGGGAATTTCACTAATATCTCAGTTTGAAACTGGAAAACTCATGAATATTTTAGGAAAACATAAAGTTAAATAACCTGAAGCTTTATTTCTTGAAAAGTATCCAAGGTCATAAATTGTGAATAGGTGCAAATTCCAAAATGGGAAATAGGAGACATCTGTTAACCTAGAATCAGCCTATCAGATAGAGATATGCAAAGTCACCTTAAAGATGGTGACTTCCTGTCACTTGGCTATCACTTGATTGGTTGTTAAAGAAAAAATGTGTCCGTTGCTGTGGGGCCATTTTCTGTAAAAATGGGCATTCAAATAACACTTATATGAGGACATAATATTGGATATTAAAGAATGTACCAATTTTTTATATCGTACGAAATTTTACTCAGTTTCTAGTCTCCCTTTTTTTCCCTATGATGGTCTTTCCTCTTTCTATGAGCAAACATATATTTTCATAAAAATAAAAAAGATAAAAGATTTCAAAATTTATTTTAGGCTCATTTACTGACCTGCTTCAGTTGCATGCTTTGCTAGTGAAGTGCTAATTTACCTATTTGGATTCATAACTAGACATACCCACACTTTTTAAATATCTTTTGTTGGGTTGTTTTTGCTTTTCAAAAATTAAGGCTTTTGAGAGAAACTCAATAGGTGGAATTAGTGTTAAGGTAGGTTGTACTATCTCAGCCTCATGCATATATCTGCCATGTTCATATCTCCCAACTGTATGCATGATCAATTCTTTAATAGGAGATCTGACAATAAGGACGAGGAGAAGAGGTTGAGAGTTTGGGACAGAAGGAAAAATCTAGGACTTAAGGGTGGATCACAAAGTGGGGAAGAAGATAAACATGAAAGTATTAAAGGAAGTAGAGCTATATAAGGAAAGGTTTATTGAAAAGGAACAGAAAGGTGAGGAGGGTAGCAAAAGAGAGCAAGTAAAAGAAGGAGCTGCTTTACCATGATTGAATCTGCACATGTTTTCAACCTGACCCTCTGTTTTGGCCTTGAAGATCTGCTCATGCTGTCATCAACGCTTCCTTTTTTCCCAATGTGGAGTCCAACAAAGTAGCAAGTGCCACGGAGTTAATTTCCTCTCCAAAAGCAACCCTGCCCAGATGCAAGTCCTTGGGTTGTGATTCTACATGGAGAACAGCCAGTAAATCTGACTTGGCTACGGATTCTATATAACCAGGGAGTTTGGGGAAATTCTGTGGCGTTTTTTAAGAACTGAACTCTGTTGTTGAGTGTATCTGAATTCCCAACTGAGTAATTGCTTCCCTCTGTCAACTTCTGGGACCTCATGGTACCACTTGGGCCCTGATTTAGACAAACCTAGGGGCCTGAGTTGATGAAAAGTATGGTGCCAAGGAATGCAGCTCACATAGGTCTTCCCCCTATACCTGTCCCAATGTTTGGCCCTAGTCACTCAGCAATAGTGCCTTCCTCCACCAGACAGACACCTTAAGTTTTGCAGGTTGTGTAAAGACTGGAGTATATTGGCTCTTTATGTTTGTGTCTGTGGTTCAAAGTCCAAATGGTCGTGTTGTACAGAGCCTGCGTGGGGCCCAATCACATCTCTACTTTTGTTTGCAGAGAAAGAGAAACAGGTTATTTTATCTTCCTCATAGTTCCCCTTTACATTCTGCTGACAAAATACCTCAGTAAATGTTTGTAGCAAGACCTTCTAGGATGAATGCACTCATGGCTATTGGCTCAAAGTTGCCTCTTCAATTTGAGACATTTCATAAAAGTATAAGAAAAGATTTATTCACTCAGAATAGAGTTTTGAGTCCCATACTTTCTGGAAGAGAACTGTTTCTTAATGCCTGTCTGTCTGCTATTGAAAGTAGAGCATCTAAGGTAGAGACTCATCTCAAATTTAACTAAATAAAGTAACAGCAAAAAAAATTCTCTGAAAGTAAGAATTTTGTATATTTTGAATGCTGGCCAAATGGCTCCACTGTTGAGACTTGCTACTGAAGGTGAAATTGCAGGTTCAGTCTCAGAAAGGGTGCTATTTTGGGAGCAGAGCTCAGTGGACCCTGTGAGAAGTGTCAGGCCCCTTTCTCCTTTCTTTGAGATAGCAGAGGTCTCTTGTACTGTGCTATTTCATTCAAGACAAGCTAACCTTTAAATGCACCCATAGGAGGGACAACAGAAGAAAAGGCAAGAAGTGACTATCCCTGGTAAACACCCACTGGCTCTACTATATCCAGGGCAGTCCAACCCCAGGTGACCTCTAGCTGGTCCTGCTGATGGCTGTGGACTGCATGAGAGGACAAACATTACAACACTCCTCCACTCTCATTCTTGGACAGGGTTCTGTTTCTGCAAAGCTGTTAGAATTAGGCAAGAAGGGCATTTAGAATCTTTTCTCACCATCTACATTATTACTGCTTTCCCGGAGTTCTAACTTTTCCTCTACATGTAGAGCAGTCTATTTAAGATATGAATGTTCCCCAAAATGCTTTCAATAAGAGTTCCACAGAAAGCCAGGGGGAAAGGGTTAAGGCTCCACAGAGCCAGCCCAACCATTTATTGTATGGTGAAGAATTTGTTTTGCACAAATTAGAAGAAGGGAATGAGAGGCATTTTGTGGTTTTCAGCCTAAGAGATAAAAGCCTGACAAAAAATACAGATTTTTTTTTTTTTCTTCTGATTTCACTGTGTCTACGAACTGGTGGTGCAGTAGTTAAGGGCTTGGCTGCTAATTGCTAGGTCGGCAGTTCAAACCCACCAGCAGTTCAACCACACAGGAAAAAAGACCTGATGATCTGCTCCTGGAAAGATTTACAATGTAGGAAATCCCATGGGTTAGCTTTACTCTGTCGTATAGGGTTACTAGGAATCAAAAGCAACAAGGGCTAGTTATTTCACTACCTGTTGTCAGCTGCTGTCCACCACACACTCCACACAAGTAAGTACACATTCCAACTGAGGCCTTTATTAGACTAAAAAATATACATAAGAGAAGAAGGTGAAATAATGTAGATGAAGTCATGCAAATACATTAGAAAAGTAGCTTTAAGTAGATGCTGATCAGAGTTCTGGTGTGGCGCTGTAAACTGTTCATCACAAGGTTGGCAGTTCCAACCCACCAGCTGCACCTTGGAAACCCTACCACAGGGTCATTATCAATTGGAACCAACTCGATGACACTTAGCAACAGATGCTGATCAACAGAGGGCCTCCAGTAGCCCTTATATGAGAAAGACATGACTTTGTTTGTGAACATCAATTATTTATATATAACCTCATTCAGTCCTTAATGTCCTGAAGATACTATCTGCATATTTAATTTGAAACAAAATGAAGACTGTGTCGTTTGTTCAAGACACTATAGTGAGATTATTTTCCTTTAGGTTAACATCTGCTCTGTTCCTCAAAGAGTTTCCTTTAGTTCTGGAAATTTAACATTCCAGGGCAATCTAGAAAATACATTCCTGGTTTGTGAGTCAGGAGTTCAGAGTTTTCATCCGAATTCTTCCTATTGACTGTGTGGCCTTTGATAAGGCACCTGACTTCCTTGTGCTTTCATTTCTACATGTGAAAAATAGGGGGTGGGGAGAGGGCATTAAAAAAAATTTTTTTTTACATATACATTATATATGTAAATACACACACACATATCTCACAAAACATTATTATGGAAATAAAACATGTCTAACATTCTAATATTGACAATGTTTTAAATGTGGCTGTGTCAAGTCAGAGCATCCCATGAAGGCAGAGGCAGGATGCATGCCAAGCCTGCCATAATGGTAGAGATTTTGGGCACTGAATATGCTTCCTGTTGTCTGAATAGACATGGGGGCAATTACAGAGAAATGGCTGAGAGCCCAGGACAGAGAAAATAAAGGAAAGGCATGGCCGCAGCCACCAGGAATTGGCATATTACCATGTTGGGATCCTATTATCTTTATGAACCAACAGGGGCCCTTGGGCAGCTGCTGCTTAAGCCTTAAATAACATTGAAAGAGGTTTATGTAAGTAAGAAATGCAAGTAAGAACTGCGGAAGAATAATGGGAATCTGATAGATCTGGCTAGTTGGAAGCTTGAGGTTAGTTGTTTGAACTAGTAGTCTCTTAATTTGGTGTTAAGAAGGAGGAATGACTTTTCATTGTGTGGGTGAAGGTTCTATGAGCGAGCAAGCCATTATGGGTCAGGTGTGGGAGGTGGTAAGACACTAAAGAATTGTTCATGAGACACTCCTTGTGTGGGATATGGCTCATAAAAGCTCTGTCTCTTGGGCTGTGTTTTGTGCTAGTCTTAGGTAGATAGATATAATTGGAGTTGATTTTGCCATGATTAGAAGAGTGACTTGAAAAAGGGGGGAAAAAATGTGGTCTTAGTTCAGCTGCAGTAAAACACTCCAAGCACACCAAATGCTGTGTATTCATTGAAGGTTCCTGTTTGTCTCTTCCAGCTTCTGCTTCCTGCTCCTGGTACCTAATTTCTGCTCCTGCCTTCCACTTTCCTCCTAATGTGAGCTCAACTTTCACCTTTCTCTCAGGTTCTCCTTTCTATTCACTGGGCTGAACCCATCTTCTCCAGTGTACACTCTGTATATTTGTGAAAGAGGTGTTCTCTGTATCCCTCCACAATCCTTTAGCAGAGTAATATCCTTTTCTACTTATAAGTATGAAATTTATGTGTCCGGTTTTGTCTTCACTGACTAGAATGAGTACTTATTCTCCTAAGTCTTTTTCAAATGTTAAAAATATGGAATCTGCCCTGCAGCTGAAAAAGATTTTCAATCTGATAAATACATTTGTCCTGTTACTTTTACATTATGTGAATTGTGGTTTGTACAGACTCTCTCCAATGGCTCCAATGGTGCTATTGTACCTCATTTCATTTCTGTGGGTTAATGTATCTCTTACTTGCTAGACGAGGACATAGTCCTTTCAGAGAAAATCTAATTATATCTGTGCAAACTATCTCCATGTAAATCTTTTCTTGTGAGAAGTGTCCATATAGGAAAGTACTAAAAAAAAAAAAAAAACATTTCTAAGCCCCAAATAATTCCTCAATTATTTCTACCACATTCAATACAATGACATTTAGTGATTGATCACAGTTAATATCTCCCTTATGTGCTCTTGGACTCCTTAAAGTTTTCTTTTTAGGGCTCTCCTCCTAGAATGAAGGGGTCTGTAAGCTACCTGTTTCACTCAGGTCTGCTCCCTTCATTCTTAAATCCCTTGGGTGCTATTTGGGAGTTTACCTCTAATTTTAGCTCCCTTTTATAGACCTTTTCCTCTGCTTCCATTTTATCTCATTTTCTGTCCAGTTCTACTGGGAAAACCACTCCTGTTTTTTGCTATACTTTCTAATGTTTTAGGAGGCAAGTGAACCAGCAGGCTGAGGTTTTTGTGACTTATTTTCAAGTTTTTCATTAATATTCTATATCTTATTGCCTGTAGTGGAGTCCTGGTATGATACTGTAAGATAAGCACTGGACTGCAAGGTCAGTTTGAACCACAAGGTCAGAGGTTCGAATCTACCAGCCATTCCTTGAAAACCCTACACAGGGTCATTATGAGTCAGAACTGACTCAACGGCACTTAACAGCAGCATTGTCTGTAACTTGAATTATTTAGGGTTATTGGTAAACATTAGGTTAATAATTATTACCTAATTATAGGTTGGGAGTGTGGTGGCTCTGTAGGATAAACACTGGACTGCAAACCACAAAGTCAGCAGTTCAAGCCCACCAGCAGCTCTGTGGAAGAAAGATGAGACTTTCTGCTTCCACAAGATTTGTATCTTCTGAAACCCTTTACAGAGTCACTATGAATCAACTTGATGGCATTTAACAAGAACAACAACAGTTGTAGGTTAATTATTATTACCTAGCTCCTGGGTCTTGGGACTAATTTGCATTATTTACTACCGTGCATTTTCTGGCAAAAGCCCACTCTGGTCTTGGCAGCACTTTGGTGCCTGTCAGAGCTTCCTGGCCATCATAAGCTAAGCTGCTTCCTTCGTCTGCTGGTTGAGGTGTTTATGTTGGGACAAGTTAAGGGTCACTTTCACACATTTAGTGTAGTGACCCTTTCCTTACCACCATGTAACCATTTCATCATGTAAAACCTTAAAATGTTTGTAGAATTCTAGCTTTCATCAGTGCTACAATACCAACTATTTTGTGCTCTTTGGCATTGGGTTTACCAAATAGAACAGCTATGCCCACCCTTATTCCACACTTTAGAAGCAGTTCATGAATTCCCAATCTATTGTGACCTCTCCCTTCCCCTTGCATTGTTTTTATTCCCCACTGTATTTTAAAATATTATAAAACCTATAGCTCTATAGGGACTCCTGGTGTGGTACTGTAAGCTCAGCACTGGACTGCAAAACACAAGGTCAGCAGTTCCAACCCACCAGCTGCTCCTTGGAAACCCAGTACAGGGTCGCTATGAGTCAGAACCGACTCGATGGCACTTAACAACAAAAACAGTAGCATTAGGGGATTTATGTATCCTTCTGGACTCCTAATAAAATAATTTGTCTCTTATCAATTGTTCCATTTATGTGTCAGTTTTGATTCATTCAAAAAAAACTGTGCCTGACTCATTGAGCAAGTCAAAATTCTAAGCAGAGAAGCATGTTTTATCAAGGTGTCTTTTCTTAATTCCCAATGTCAAATGTGCTTTGTCTTCCTGAAATGTATCCCCTCCAGAATCTGTTCTTACAATAGTCTGTCCTGCTTTTACCTGACATTTGAATCAAACTTCTGTGTATGATGACATTTTCTCCCAAGTCCCTCGCCCCCATTTGCTAGCATTGTGTGTGTGGTTTTGTTTGTTTGTTTATTTTATGGTGGCTTATCTAAACCTTTCTCTTCAGTCCAGCCCCAGCTCCATCCTCCCCTAACAGCTGCTATACTTAGGCAGCCAGACTGTTGGGAGAAAGAATTCAAGGGAACCTCTTGGCTTTAAAGAGTCAGTTGATAGAATTTTAGTAGGTTTAATGTTCCTATGAGAAATGAGAGACCAGCTAAGTGAGACCTTAGAGGACAAAGCAAACCCTAGAGCCCACCTCAGCAGATCACGAATTCATTACTACCTATGATAGTTAAAGTTGTCCTGGTTCTTTTCCTATTCCTAGAAGTTTCAGGCACCCGTGAGAGAGACCTGTGTGGAATGTCAGAAGACAGTCTACCCGATGGAGCGGCTCTTGGCCAATCAGCAGGTGTTTCACATCAGCTGCTTCCGTTGCTCCTATTGCAACAACAAACTTAGGTAAGCCAGACCTAAACAAGCAATCTCTTCTGTACGAGGAGGCTTCCAAAAGTTCATGAGAAAATCTCATTATCTTTTCAATCTATTTTTCCTTCAACTTTTGAAAGCTGTATAATTGGGCCTCTGGAGGAAATCTGGGTTTTCGAGCACTGGTACTAACAACTATTGTGCTAAATGTGTTCTTTTTAAGGGCCTTGCAAGAAAAACGTAAAAAGCACATTTAGTGGCAAGTGTCTCATCAAATAATAGTGGTGTTTAGAACTTCTTGGTTTGTTGATAACACTCATTTGTATGTGAAGACTGCACTTAAGTAATATAGTTTGCGAGTTAAATTTCCTGTGACTTTAGCTATGATATTTTCACCATGATAAAAATATATATATTTGGAAAAAACCTCCTGTGACCTAAGTTAGCAGGATGTTTTCTTTCAGTGTTAGAGCATCATAAAGTTAAGAGCTCTCCAGGGTGACTTGCCTAGGTCCTTACTTCACAGTATCCTAAATACTATGTAAATGATAATAATGACCCCTGAAGAGCATTGATTTTTTTTTTTTTTCTGTGTTTCTTCATTTTTATTTCTGAGAAAATTACTAGTATTTTGTCAAATTTTTTCCAAGTCACTCAAAACGTAGAATATAATTGTAACACATTAAGAAAATATTCTATGCTAGTCCTGGAGTCCTGGTGTGACCTATAGGATAAGCACTGAACTGCTAACCGAAAGGCCAGTGATTCAGATGTACTAGTCACTCCTCAGAAATCCTACATGGGATTGCTATGAATCGGAACTGACTCAGTGGCACTAACAACAACAAGAATTTCTTTTTAATAGTAAAGTGTTAAAGAGGGAAACAACCGGGATATCACTTCCTCCAGCTTTCCTTCCTTCTCAAATGCTCTTGAAATGTGGTCTGGCATGACATCTGCTTAGCACTTCTGGGAGTGGATACCTCACAACAGTGTTGTTAGATCTAGCTAGACAATCGTCCGCACCATACCTATGTAACTGCCACCCAGTAGTGTTTTTCTGCTAATTGTATTCATCTTTTTCCCAAAGCACATTCTTCTGTGAGAATGCTATAGTTTTATGGTTGTTGTTAGCTGTCATTGAGTTAACTCTGCCTCACTTTATATATAACAGAATGAATCATTGCCTGGTCCTATACCGTCTTCATGATCACCGATAGGTTTGTGTATCATATATTTGCTTCTCTGGAAGAGATGCCAAACCTCTTAAAGGCCTGTCCAGCACTGACTAATAGGGAAGCCTTACTTCCTGGCTACTGCTCCCCATTTTTCTACTAGCCATAGTTTAATTTTACTCAACTAGTAGCATTTATTGAGCGCCAGTTGTTTGCAGAGCATTATACCGATTCCTAAAAAGGGGTGCTTTTAAATAATAGTACAAATGGGAAAATAGGAGGAATGTTATTATAAGTAAGTATAAGTTATAAATACTAAGGAAATGCATTATTAGTGATCTGAGCTAGGTAGGATTACCTTCAGAAGACTTCCTAGACAAAGTAGTTTTTAACAGAAAGGACAGAAATCAATTTCAAAGGGTACATACATAACCACGTGAAAGAATGACATGTGGAGGTTCAGAACTAGAAGTGCTTCAAAGGAGGTAGAGACTCCTACGTGATTGATGTGTGCCTTAAAAGATATTAGCATCTTCTGAAAATACTGACATTGCCAGATTTTAACCTACTGGTTTAAATAAAAGAGTATGCAGATTGCTAACTTTGTGCTTTTTCTTTGAATGGCAGTCTAGGAACTTATGCATCTTTACATGGAAGAATCTATTGCAAGCCTCACTTCAATCAGCTCTTTAAATCTAAAGGCAACTATGATGAAGGCTTTGGGCACAGACCACACAAGGATCTGTGGGCAACCAAAAATGAAAGTGAAGAGACTTTGGAGAGACCAGCTCAGCTTTCTAACGAAGGAGAGGTTCATCAGAGCCCAGGAGTGGAAGATGCTCCCATTGCTAAGGTGGGTGTGCTGGCTGCAAGTATGGAAGCTAAGGCTTCCTCTCAACGGGAGAAGGAAGACAAGCCTGCTGAAACCAAGAAGTTGAGGATTGCTTGGCCACCCCCAACTGAACTTGGCAGTTCAGCAAGTGCTTTGGAGGAAGGGATCAAAGTGTCCAAGCCCAAATGGCCTCCTGAGGATGAAAGCAGTAAGCCTGAAGCTCTTGAGGATGTAGATCTGGATCTGAAGAAGCTAAGACGATCCTCTTCACTGAAGGAAAGAAGCCGCCCGTTCACTGTAGCTGCTTCATTTCGAACCACTTCTGTCAAGAGCCCTAAAACCTTGTCCCCTCCTATTAGGAAAGGCTGGAGCATGTCAGAGCAAACTGAGGAATCTGCAGGAGGAATAGCAGTTGAAAAGAAACAAGTGGAAAATGTCAAAGCCTCAGAGAAGAATGGGAGTGTAGAAGAAGCTACCTGGCAAAGCAAGGAATCTGAAAGAAGAGAGACAGGGAGGAGAAGTAAGGAAGTTCATAGTTTTGAGACAAAGAGTGAGAATCTTGTAGAAAATGGTGCAAATGTAGATGAAGATGATGGGACCTTCCTCAAACAGCAGTCTCCGATAGAACCTAAGTCCCCAAATTGGTCTAGCTTTGTAGATAACACCACCACCAAAGAATTCACTACTCAGAATCAGAAATCCCAGGATGTAGGATTCTGGGAGGGAGAAGTGGTAAAAGAGCTGTCTGTGGAAGAACAGATCAAAAGAAATCGGTACTATGATGAAGAAGAGGATGAGGAATGATAAATTGCAATGGTGCTGGGCCTTAAATTGGTGTTAGTGTTAGTGAGCCTCTACCCTTTTATCAAAGTGATGCACATAAACGGTATCTTAACTTGATCTATAATTCATGTGGAAGTAACTTTGGAAAAGAGGTCCTCTTCAAAAAAAAAAAAAAAAAAATGTCATATTCTGCAGCTTAAGTGAACCAGTTCTAAGGGATAGAGACAACATTACTTAAATTCTCCATTTCATCAATGATGGTATGTTTTAAGATTGTATCAATACAAAGTGGGGGTGGATAATATTCCAAATAATATAAGCTGGAATCCACTGTATTCCCAAGAGGCATGTTAATGTTAACATAGATAGGTAATTATTAGTACAGTCTTGTTACACTACAAATACTATTTTGAATTTAGGAAACATGCAGGAGGAATTTAGGGGCCTAACCATTATGACCGAATGCACTTTAGTATAAAGGGCACAGTTTGTAAAATTTTTAATAATACCAATTGAATTATTTAGTATTCATTTTCTAAGAGATCAAATATTTAGTCTTGTTTTAAATTTTTAGATTAATTTTCTTAGTCAACTATGTAAGGGGAATTTATTGCTTTGCATCCTTCGCTCTAAAAACACACCCAGAACTGGATTATTGACGTATAACACAGCCAGCTTTTCAGAGCAGCTTTCGAAGAAATTGAAGAACCAACCCACATGCTTTGGTACTTGCAGAAATCCACTGCTTCCCAAATGCACTGTGGGATTTGCCAATTTGACTACACCCCATGTGATTGCTTTCCTCTCCGGTGGCATCGTGCTTACAACTTACTAAAAGCTTCAGCTCTTTTGAATCACTGTTTACCACACACCATGTTAGGACAAAATGAAGAGTTTAAAGGAGCAATAGCAAAAAGAACTGCCTTAAACCAAGAGCTCAGTCCCCCAAGTCCTGTATTCCACTTCTGATTGTCCCCTTTCTGAAACACTAATTTTTAAATAGTTACTAACTCTTGAGTTTTATTGATTTTTATGATAGGCAATATTTCCAGGTGCAAATAAGCAAATATAGGCCTTTTTCTTGGGATGATTTTCTAGTATTTAAGGCTTTGAAACATTATAAACTTGAGCACGTTAATGTACATAATTGATATTCCAAATTGTATGTGTGGTGGGGAGAGATGTTTTAAACTATAGGTTTTTCTTTGTACTGCATTTATAGAGATTTAGCTCTAATATTTTTTAGAGATGTAAAATATTCTGCTTTCTTACAGCCTTGCTTAGTCTGAAACATTTTTATTCAATAAAGCTTATAATTTACATTTAAACTTTGCAGTGTTCCATTTTTACTCTTCTTTTTACATTGCTACAGCCTCTAAGGAGCTCTGGTAGCATAGTGGTTACGAATTGGGCTGTGAACCTGAGGGACAGCAGTTCAAAACTACCAGCTGCTCCATGGGAGAAAGATGATGCTTTCTGCTCCCGTAAAGATATACAGCCTTGGAAACCCTGTACAGGGTCGCTGTGAATCGACTCCACAGCACATAACAACAACACCACAGTCTAAGGGCTTACTTTTTTTTAACCTTAAACATTTTGAAAAGAAAAGGTAAATGGGATGAGAAGCGCTATGAATGCATCTCACCATTAGGTGGTAGTGTTGGGCTGATTATGGACTTTCATTCTTGGTATAAAAGTTTTTTTTGGAAAATTGAAAGCAACTTGACTAGAGAATTACTGTTTTATTTTACCCACTGTTCAGAATCCAGTGGTGGGTTTTAGTGTGTATTTTATTCAACACTTAATAATTCATCTTATAATTCTATCATGCAAAATGGGATTTCCAATAGTATTATAGAATAAGCACTGGACTGCTTATCAGTGGTTCAAACCCACTGGAAACCCTATACCGGGTCAATATGAGTCACAACCAGTTCATCCGCGTTTAACAACAACTTCTGAAAATGCACTTGTTTGCCATTCCAGGTAGAAGCATATTTGGTGGTTTGATTTCGTTGCCTATAGAGGCAGCTCCCTTCACTGTTAGGCTTTTTTTTTTTTTTAAGTGGTAGTATTTTTGTTGTTAATGTTTGGTGCCATCGAGTCAGTTTTTGGCTCTTTACAGCCTCATTTGAATAAGTAGAACAGTCCCATAGAGTTTTCTAAGCCACAGTCTTTATAGGAACAGATTGCCCAGTCTCTCTCCTCCAGAGTCACTGGGTGGCTTCAAACCACTAACCTTGCCGTCAGCCCATCACTTAACCCACTGCATATTACCAGGATTGTTGTTGTTGTTAGGTGCCATCGAGTCGGTACTGACCCACAGCGATCTTATGCACAGCAGAACGATACACTGCCCGATCCTGGGCCAACCTCACTACTGTTGCCACGCTTGAGTCCATCCATGCTGCCACTTGGCCAATCCATCTCATTGGGGGGTCTTCCTTTTTTTCCCTGACCCTCCACCTTACCAAACATGATATCCTTCTCCAGTGACTGCCTGACAATATGCCCAACGTATGAGAGACGAAGTTTGGCCATCCTGGCCTCCAAGGAGCACTCTGGCTGCACTTCTTCCAAGATGGGAGGATATATTTTCTTGGGGATAAGCATGTTTTTGAGTATTCTGCTACATTTTGTCAGATCATTGTATGTTCCGGGAACTTGCCTGGTTTTCTGAGTGAATGACAGGGTGTTACTTTGTGCACTTGACCCCGCCACAGGATGAATGAAATCCTCTAGAAGTCTCTATTCACTGGACATTTAATCCAGAGGGCCCTGTTGCCATTCATAATACATCCATTCCTGGTTCTAGTTTAGCTACACTTACTGTGTGACTCATTCATTGTTTACCTCTGTAACCCACCCAGGTGGTACTTACTATATGCATTGACTTTACACAGAGAAGTGACTTTACGCAGCGTTTGTGAATATCAAGTACATCACTGTATATCAGTACTTGAGGACAAAGATTACCCTTAGGAGGCATACATTTTCTGTGCCTTCCAAAAACTAAAATAGACATGTCATTATAGGTTCAGAGGGTAGAAACAGCAGTAGTGCCATAATCAATATAAGTAAAGGGATGTCCTTTTCAAGAGAATGGCAAGATAACACTAAATGTTCTTAGAAAACAACCTGCAGCCAAACTGTTAATCGTTTCTTTTTTTCCAAGTAATCTAAATGAGGTCAACCTTGATTTTGAACTTCCTGTGTCAATAGTGAGAATCAGGTGTGAGTTTTCTGTTGGAGAAGCAGGAAAACGGGCCAACTTGGTAATTAAATGGTTAAGGAGACTGTTTATGACTGCTACAGAACCAAAATGGGTCCAGAACTTTGCTAGTCACATCACTTGTGACCAAAGTGAAAGCTGCACCTAGTTTATTTCCATTATACATGTGGGGAGCAATATGTTTTCTAACAACCAAAAGGTTGACAAATGGTATAGATTTTTTTTTCCCTAGGGACAGAATTGTGAGTAGAATTCCTGTATGCCAACTTAACATGTCCTCTACTTCTTACAGCTCCGACTTAAGTTCCCATGGGACTAAAGGGAAAGTTTACTTGCTCTAAAAAATGTATCTTGAATATAATATAAAGTAGCTACCATTAAGTGATTCCTTAATTTTAGTGAAAATGGCTTCAGATAGAGGTTCTCAGACCAGCACCCTGTGGCATTATCTATGAATTGCTTAGAAACGAGAAATATAAATTCATGGACCCTACCCCAACCAACTCGATGGCACTTAACAACCTCAAATGACTAAATAAAAATCTCAGGATGGGGCCCAGAAGAAAACCATCTAATGATATCTCCACATGTTGCTGATGCACATTAAGGACTGAGACTAAGACTCACTGAGCTAAACCAATGCCTTATGATGGTAGGGGTTTTCCCCTCCTACTGTTCCCTATGAAGATTTTGTTGTTGTTACCACCCTTAGGACGGTTTTAACTCATAGTGACCCTGTATAGGGTTTGTGAAAAGCAGCTGGTAGTTTGAACCACCAACCTTTTGGTTCAAACCAATCTTGCAGTCCAGTGCTTACCCTACAGCGCCACACCAGAACTTCCCTGAACATCTGGCATATGCATGCTTACTAGTTATAATATTACTTAATCTGTGCTTGGGCAAAAGGTAGCGATTTAGTTCTTTTAATCTTTGTTTTTTTCCTTTCAGGTCATGCTAGTTCATTTTTGATAATTAACATTGTAGCCTAACATGAACAGATAGCACCTAGACAGAGTTCAAGGTTCTTGGGCAGTTGATGGATAATTTAGAGTATCACTTTTGAAAGTGCATAGTCTATGGTTCCCCTCCCTTTATGTCTGTGTTAATCTATAAAAGAGTTCAGTGTTCAAAGTTCAATGAGGAAACCAAACATTAAGACACTGTACAGCCCACGGAGGTAGTGTGGGAAGAGTGCTGTTTTCATTGAGAGGATTGCAATTAATGTCACAAATGTGTATAAATTGTAGAATGTGAAATTAATGTCCTTTGTAAATCACAGTAAAATGTTTAAAAAACAAAACACAATTTAAAAATGGTTTACAGGATTAGAGTTCAGGATTCTCAAGACTTTCTGGCCCAAAAGCCTAGCATCTCAGCTTGTTAGCTAGCTATATGACCTTGGACAAACTGCTTGACTCAGGTTACTTCTTTAAAATATTATGGGGTAAGTGGAGCTACTGGCTGATGGGAAGAGAGGACATATGCACAGGAGCGCCCACACTTGCAGATGATACCCACATGACCTGGACTGGATGACTGGATGATCAGAGCTCAATCAGGAGAGGAAAGAAGAGGGGGGA